CGAGACAATCCGAAACAAATTTGTCTGCGACAAAAACACCCCGAGGGAAAWCCTCGCTGAACTCCTGAAAAACCTGGAGGTATAATTCTACTCTGTTACCATTAAGTGCAACACATACCAGAGGTTTTTTTTAAATCCCACAGGTGTAAAAACACACAAGATAAGCATGATCTAATTAGGGCAACTTTATATTTAAAAACTACACTTTTAAGAGGTTTACTCCAAGTTTTATTACTTTTTTTACATCTCATTTTAACAGACAGAAAAGGAACAGAACAAAGAAACCAAGAGACAGGTTCAGAGTCTGGTCAGCAAGTCCAAGTCCATTGTCAGGCTGAAACCTCGTAACCCTGAAGAGAAGACCAGCGGCCCCATCGTGGTTCAGGCTTTATGTGACTTCAAACAGGACCAGGTGGGACTTGTGATTTATTTTAATTCTCAATTACACTTATATATAACGCTGAGTATGAAGGGAAGTATGACCAGTGAAACTCAGTGGCACATTTTGCATTACAGAAGGGAATATTGAAAGGGAACGAGGGCATTCTGAAGGACAACTCACAGCGCAGCAAGTGGCTTGTGACGGGACCTGGAGGTCTGGACATGTCGATTCCCTCCGTGTGCCTGCTCATCCCACCTCCAAACCCACTCAGCATCGAACTTGCCAACAAGTAAAAATCATTTGAAAGTTGTGTCTTGCCATTTCTGCATGACTGCTAAACTTGATGCTTTTCCCAAGCAGTTAATGATTKTATGTCTGGTTTTCAGGATTCAGCAGTATTTTGAATCTATTCTGGGAATTCAGAATCAGCTAAACATCAACATCAAAACTCTGATCTCCTGGCAGTGCTGCCTCAAAGAACTCACTAACATCAAGTCCCTCACCATCAGTAAGGTAGGATACCCCRAATATCCAGTCGTAGAAGTTGCTGTATCTGTTGTTCATCTGGAGCACTGTCTGCTGCTGGCAGCTTTCTAAGATGCCTCCTGACGAGTATCRCAGAGTCATCAAAAAMCTGGAGATTCACTACCAGGAGTTCCAGCGTACCAGTCAAGGCTCTGCTCTGTTTGGAGAAGAGGACAAGAAAAACATCCAGGGTCAAATTGACAAAGCCCAACAGCACTATGATACACTGATTATCCAGCTGCCCACTTACAGTGAGTATGAACTGGTTTTGTCTTGTTTTTGTCATATGTCCTTGTAATAAAATGATTACAGTAACTCTCAGCAGTACACAAGGAGTTTAAAACGGAACTTACACAAACACACAGATGTGTCTTCCATAATATTGTTTAGTGCTTTTGTTTTTTCCAGTAAAATAAAATTATAAAATAAAATTGTTTTCAACAGTTAATTTACATTTCTTCAATCCTCCACCAGTCAAAGAAGCAGTTCAAGCAAAAGAAGAGGTGAAGAATGAAACTTCAAAGACAGATATTGAGGTCACTCAGAACCCACAGACCAAAGAGAGGTCACACTCTCAATCCACTTCCACCTTAACCATCTCCACTTCAGCATCTTCAAGCACCTCAACCAAATCCACCATCAGCCTCACGCTGCTCAGCCACCTGCAAAACTTTCAACGTCAGCTGGAATTTGCTGAAACAGGCCTCACCAGTCATCTCCACATTCCTCTGGGGGATAACTGTGTGCACCAGTGCAACGAGCACATTCAGAAGCTGCAGGTGTGAAACCTAAGATTTGTAGAGCTGACAATAAAAAAAACATATTTTCAAAATGCATAAAATTCATAACATCAATATATAATATACTTCAAYATATATGTTTATTTCCAGGGTGTGCATCAAGATCTGGAGTCAATTCAGGGCGATTACCTGAGGCTGAGAGAGATGATTATAAAGCAGCTAAATGGGGAGCCTGCAGACTCAGAGCAGGCCAAGTTCCTGCGCTCTGAACTGGAAATCATCAGTCAGAAACTGGGAGGCCTACAGAGTCTCTACACAGCCTACAWTCAAAGGTCCAGCTTTTTAGGCCACATAATAAATAATTATCAATTCAAGAAACTAAAACTAAAATCAGGTTATTCTCTTTGCTTGTCTTTCTAATCTGATGACTGTGTGTCTACAACAGACTGTCTGCTCTGAAGGCCTTGCTTCAGAATCTTGTCCAGACAGAAGACATCATTAAAGTCCACGAGGCTCGTCTTACTGAGAAGGACACCAGCTCCCTGGACCCCATAGTACTGGAAAACCATCGGAGCGCACTGAAGGTTTCAGTCACTCTTTAGTCTTGTTTTTTTATTTTATTTTTTTTATAAATATATATTTCAGTGTATGTGTCTTTTCTGGTTAGATTAGATTTTAAGTTTTGCCTTCTGCATACAATTATGTTTGASAAGAATTATTTCTAGTGTACTTGAACTTTACTATTTTCTGTCTCTTTTTTATTTTTCACGCATATATGATTCAGATAATCTAAGTATAGATGAGTGGTATGGATTTTTCGGTAACACTTTATAATAACTACACCTTATTTAGCTGTAATTAATCATTAATAAAGGGTTACTTAACTTTGAAAATATCATTAATTAAGGATGATTCGGACTTAATAAGCTATGAATTGGAACACATATTAATGTTTTACCCATAAAGGCTAATTACTTCTAAAAACAACATACTCGTTGTTTACTCATGCTTAATAACTCATGAGTTAACTATTCTATATACTGTGTACATATATGCAAATGCTCATGTAAACATACTTTCACACCATGTGTTAGACATGTATTATTGGTTAGAGAATGATTGAATTGACTATCTACTAACCCTGCAGTGCATCAGTAATTTAGGAGGTGTTAGTAGTTAAGTCTTTTTGTGAACCCTTCTAAAATGAAGACTACTGGTATTTATGTTTATTTAAGTATTTGTAAATCACAGCCACCAGTTAGTTACCAGCTTGTGCTTTTCTGTTATTACATCTATTCATCCAATCACTCTGTAGGGAGTTATAGTGCAGATAGTTTTCACTCATGGTTCTGACTTTGTCTTTGATATATTAAGATTAAGTATGAAATGTGAAATACAAGCAAAAAGTGACATTTAGATTAGATTTAAACCCACATATAGATTTGCACACTTTATAAGGCCAGCAAAACTCATATTTTATCAATTTATGAAATTTCCCATGAGGCTTTGCTCAAACCAGGAAGTTAAACGTATGCTCAGGCAGCAAAGCTTCATGAGAAATTTTGTAAATCTATAAAAAAAGAGTATTTTGGGTCTTATAAAGTGTAATGATTGATTCATGACATAAAGTTTGCAAATCCACATGTGTGCTTAAATTGAATCTAAACATATCATGTAGTTACTTGTATTATCATGTTTAATCTTAATATAATTTAAACATAAAGTCAGAACCATGAATGAAAACTATCTGCACTATAACCCCTTATCTAGTGATTGGATGAATATACACTGTATGTAAAGATTGTAAGTGGAAATGCAGTCTTTCTACATCAGAGGACAGAAAAGTACAAGCTGGTAACTAACTGGTGACTAATACTTAAATAAACATAAATAGTCTTCACTTTAGAAGGGTTCACAAAAAGACTTACCAACTACTAACACCTGCTTTAATTACTGATGCGCTGCAGGGTTAGTAGATAGTCAATTCAATCATTCTCTAACCAATAATACATGTCTAACACATGGTGTGAAAGTATGTTTACATGAGCATTTGCATATATATACACAGTATATAGAATAGTTAACTCATGAGTTATTAAGCATGAGTAAACAACAAGTATGTTGTTTTTAGGAGTAATTAGCCTTTATGGGTAAAACATTAATAAATGTGTTAATTCATAGCTTATTAAGTCTAAATCATCCTAAATTAATGTTGTTTTCAAGGTTAAGTAACCCTTTATTAATGATTAATTACAGCTAAATAAGTTGTAGTTATTATAAAGTGTTACCGATTTTGTATTTTAAGTAGGGATGCACGATATATCGGCATTAATTTTGGTATTGGCCGATATTGGTAATTTTTTAGAATATCGGTATCCGTCCGAAACTTAAAACTGGGACGATATTAACGTCTGATATTGATTTCCTATTTTTTAGCTTTGTGTTTTGTTTTGGGAGGGGAAATGGTTGGTTGAGCTGCATCTGTTTGACCAGGATGAAGGATAGTGATGCTGTGTATCCAGGAATAACTGAAGTCGGGAGCCATGTCAGAGGTCTGGTCGTTTATTTACAGTTTCAAAAAAAGACCCAAGTCTGTTTGTGCGTATATGTATAATATAATTTGTGCATTTGTGTAATATTAGTAAATATCGGTTATCAGCCATAACAGCAATAATTATATCGGATATCGATATCGGCTGAAAATTTTCATGTTGGTGCATCCCTAATTTTAAGTTAAAATGTTATTCATTCTACTGTATTTTCAGTTAAAAATGTACAAACCACTTAAATTATTTGGAAAATGCTCATTTTAATAATCTCGGCCTCAGTAGCAACCTCCAGTCTATCAATAATGTTAAACTGTCTATTGAAGTTCTACAGACGTATTTGTGTTTTTTATATGAATAATATTTACTGTGTGTTCTGCTGTTTAAAGGATATTATTGTTGCAGGATTTAATGTTTCAGTGGTGTACTCTGTTGCAATATAAAACTAACCGAAAAATAAAAAGGTTGTGTTTGATCACTTTCTCTAATATTATAAATGTTTTTGTGCAAGCCAAAGCTGATACCGTACACTTTCATTATAGGCTATTTTGATTTTAAAAAGAAGTTATGTGGAGGGTTGGATGTAAATTAAACAACCATATTGTTTGATTTTATCTTAAAGCACATGAAGAATGAACTGGAGCAAAGACGTGACCTGCTGACATCTTTGGACTCTGAGCTGGCTAAAGCTCAGCACTGGAACAGTCAGATTTCTGAGCCCTTCCACAAGTGTGATTTTGATTTGTCCAAGTATTCCGAACTGGTGAACCAGATGGGTGATCGCTGGCGTCRCATCCAAACACAGATTGATAGCAGGTACAGCAGGCTGCTYAGTAAACAGAGACGTATTGTCATTGCTRGTAAGAAACACTAATGCATCCTTCCACCTCTTCCTCTTTCCACCTCAGAATGTGGGACTTGGACAAACAGAAGAATCATTTAACGCAGTATCAACAGAACAGAACTTCCGTGGAGCACTGGATAGACAATGCCAGGAAACGCCAGGACTCCCTTCAGATGGTTAAAATCAATGATATTCAGATGCTGATGGATCACCTCAGCCAACAAAAGGCACATCTTTCTATATTAACAAAAACTGTCTATGATCAGTGACAAATGTTAAATGTTGTTTTACAAAGAAAAATAATATGACACACAAATACAAGGTTTTGCATAAAATCCAATTTTTGGATGGAGGTGACAAATCAGTCCGAAAATGTCAGTGGTGGAGTTTTCCTTTTAGATTGCATGAATTTAAGTACATTGAATAAGCAGAGTACTACAGAATGCCAATTACTCTTTTTATTTTTATTTTTTGAAAAAAATAAAAATAAAGTGTTGTTGCAGAGAAGCTASAAATAGCCACTGAATCACAATCCATAAGGACAGTCATTACAGTAATGTGCATTTCTTGTTCAACAGGCTCTTTGCAATGAAATTAAAGGCAAGAAGGAGAAAGTAGAGGTTGTGCAGAAAAATGCAGACACCTGTGCTGCCTTTATAAAGGTTGGGACACTTTTTTAATTCAACTATTTTGTCAAGATGTCACAGTCARTTACAGCACAAATAATATTGTGTTGGATGTTTTCAGGACTATGAGCTGCAGCTTGCTTCCTACAGTTCAGGACTGGAAACTCTGCTTAATGTTCCCATCAAGAAAACTGTGCTGCAGTCCCCCGCTACTGTGGTCAGACAAGAGGTATTAGTTACAATCTTTCTTTTAGTTTATGACTTATGATTTATTTGTTGAATTTAATAGGCACTTAATTTAGTTTTGCTGCATTTGTAATATAACATAGTCAGTCCCTTCATCATAAGTGTCTCTTAAAGTTAGGAATGTAAACACTTGACTAATCGTCAACAATATTTATTGATTTTTTTTAACTTCCATCAGGCTGCTGATGTCCAGGCTCATTATATAGAGCTACTTACTCGCTCTAGTGATTACTACAAGTTCCTGGGGGAGCTGCTGAAGAACATGGAGGAACTAAAGGTTGGCATTGGGTTTGTTTGCAAAAACAAATTATAATAGTTTTATATAGAAATAATGTTGATGAAAGAAGCATGTTGCATGAAAAAATAACTTCATCCAACAATAAATAAAGAGATGACTGATCTATTTTTTATTGCTGATGTATTTTCAGTTAARAAACACCAGGATTGAGATGTTRGAAGAAGAATTAAGGCGCCTAAAGGATGACCTCCAAGATCGAAATCAGAAAAATAAATCTCTGGAAGATGMTTTGGCCCGCTACAAGTTAGAGCTTAGTCAGTCAAAAGACGAACTCATTACTTTRGAGGAGGTGAAGAGAAGCACTGCAWTGCAAGTTAGTGCTGCCAAGGAGAACCTGGGAACCACACAGARCCAGATTCAAGATGTCAATGACCAGCTGACCCGCRTCAAGTACCAGCTGGATGAGGAACAGAGGAAAAGAAGRCTTGCGGAAGAGCGCTATAATAGCCAGCAAGAAGAGTATGAGGCAGCTGTTCGCCRCAGACAGAAAGAACTAGAAGAGGTTAAATGGGTGAAGATTGACTTAGAGAAGGCYGTGAARGACAGGGAACGGGAAGTTGAGAGGTTGAAGCTGCAGCTAGAAGAGGAGGCAACCCGCCGAAGAAATGCCGAGTCAGATATCTCAAAGGTAAGAACACAGTGCATCCAGATCTGAGGCTGCAAGACATAGGAAAAGTGAATTAGAGGAGGAATTCAGGAAACTGAGGCAGTCAATTACTCTTATTAAAGAACAGAAAATAAAGCAGAACATGAAGTTAGCCAGCAGAGGGCCTCAGTGACCCAGGAGATAAAGATTCTCRATGAGCTGGAGGTGCAGCTGAAAATCATTCACAAGACACCTAAGTCTGGAACTGAGATGTGTTTTGAGTTGGAGAGAATGACCTCACTACTACGTCACTGAAATCTATTCAGATAGAGGCCTCAAACTCTGGCAGAAAGTATGAGCAGGAAATCAGGGCTCTCCAGGAGGCACTGRACAAGAGCTTTRAGGATCATAAAGACATAAAASAAACATGTATAAAACCATTGAGGAGAATAGTTGCCAGCTTTGCAAATACATTACAAAGTTTAAAAAACTGAAGACTGATACATAGCTGAAAGCAGTAAGACAAGAATGATATGAAATGAAAATGAACAAATATACGAATGATAGACACTCAGCCTTGCATGTCCAATGTCAGAATAGGACTAAGATGACAACAGAGCTCCAGGTTCTTATTGGTGGCCTGAACAATGGAGAGAAAAGCTTAAAAACAAGATTTAAAAAACTCCAGAAGCAAGATTTTTCTACTCTTCAAAGGGTCATGTACCCATGTAAAAGATTAATTATATTCCTGCTTGCATGTTATTTTTTTACATGTGTATTCTTCTTTAAAATGTATGCATTTCATGTCTGACCCTCACTCACATTAGASTACAAATCACAGATAAACATTGGGCTGTTWTTTTWTTTCTGCACAGATTTCARTGATGGTACATGAGTCCCAAAGCCAGTACAAAGAGCTGCTGCTGCAGAGRGATGGTTTGCAAGCCAAATTCAAACTGATGGAGCAGGACAAGAACCAACTACAGCGACTGGAAGAGGAGCTGTCTCATGTCAAAACCACTCTAGAGACCGAGGTTTGCGACAAACAGAGACTACAGGATGAAAAAAATGCAATGGCTAATGAGTTCAACTCTATGAAGAGTCTTTATGAGATTAAAGAAACTCAGTTTASACAGTGTGAATCAGATAGAGACAAGGCTGATCAAGACAGAAWATCGTTGAAGAATGAGATTGAGAGGTTAACGAGGGAGCTGAAAAGTGTTGATGAGAGATACAGGAGYCRTCTGTTAAGCTCAGAACGGGAGGTTTCTGAATTGAATCTGAAGAGAGRTTCCCTAGARAAAGAAATACAGAAATTAAAGCAGAGACCCAGTACCTTGTGCAGRCAGACCCAGRCAGATGAGAAGGTCTCAACARYTGATCCATCAAAGYTTGTATTTGATGGGGTGCRCCGCAAAGTCACGGCTCACCAGCTTTGTGATTGTGGTATAATCAGTAAAACTACCCTTGAYGAGCTCTTAAAAGGAAAAAGRACTGTGGATGAGGTAGCAGTGGGCATCCARYTTWGTCTGAAGGGTACTGGTGTTATTGCTGGAATGACAACAGGKTCCCAAGGGAAAATGCCATTCMCTGAAGCCAAACACAAAAATCTCCTCAGCCCAGAGAGTGCAATTAAGCTCCTGGAAGCTCAAGCTGCAACAGGCTACATAATGGACCCTGTTTTCAATGACAGGATGCCTGTAGATACAGCTTGTTCCAGAGGGATTGTGGACACAGAAGACAGAGATGTCTTGTTGACAGCTGAAGCAGCTAGCACAGGTTTCAAAGATCGGTACACAGGCAAAGTGTTGTCTGTGGGACAGGCCTGCAAACATGGTCATGTAGACAAAGAAACAGCCATCAGGTTGCTCCAGGC